AGTGCAAAGTTACCAAGAGAACAAACTTTGAAGGCAGAAAGACCAACTTACAGGGTGGGAAGATTGTAAAACTTAGTAAGCACTCCAAGGCTTCTTATTAAAATATTATTATTATTTTGAAAAGTTTCTGAGTTAAAATATCATCTATGCATTATGTTTGACACTGTGTAGAACAAGAATTTTACACTAGGGTCATTATATCTCGAAACTCTATTCAACATAATTTCATCGATTCGATCGGCAACAACTGACAATTCTAAGAACTGTGAACACTGTAATTTCGAGCTAATTGAATCGCATTCGTTCCTCTTCTTTTTCTTTCTTTGCAAAGAGCGTCTCGACGCTTGGCGCCGCACGCACCGACGTTTTACGCGAGTTATGTGTGAACGATAGCATACGACAAAGAGAAAGAAAAACAGGGAAAAAGAAGACACAACAGTGATACAATAACCACCCTATGCTAGCAAACGTGAAATCAAATTATTATGCAGAAGAACAATTTTTTCAAAGTGAATTTGGAATAATGGATGTACTCGTGTATAATTAAGATTCGATTGATTAAGAGAGCAAAAATAATAAAAATAATGCCACGATATTTTTCACACAGTTTGAGGTCATATTAACAAATATGCTTTCATGTAAGTATATACAAATGAAAAGCTGCAAGTATATCGTACAAAGGTACTTAAAAACAAAGTATCTATGATCTGTGATGAATGTTTTTCTCTAATCCAGTATGGTAACGAACGTGTTAAGTAGATTTCTTAGGTACGGTGAGTTAAGCATGCTTGGCACATTTGTGTCTACGTCACAGTACAGCATCAACTTTAGTCATAAGAACTACTTCCCCCTCCGTTATTCACCTCGACTCTACTTAACCCGAGGTATCTGCATATACGCTATGAATAAGTATACTTTCCTTTTTGCCTCGCTATCTACCCCTTCTTCAATCCCCCCTATGAATGTCGTTCGTACAAACCCAACAAGAACGTGACTTATTGCGCTATCATCTATCTATGTGTACTATACGCGTTGTACTTAATCAATTTTATATTCAATAATCGCAATTTCTTTATCAATATCTTAATACTGTCGCACGATTCGATGTGGTTCACCGTTAAGGGTCCGCTGACGCGATTTCGCCTACTTAACTCGGGTAGAGTCTATGGCGAAGAAATGATCAATGTTGGAATTTTGTACTTTGCGACGTATCAATCGAAGCGTCTTTTAATTCTTTACAAACAAGTACTGAAGCACTTGTGTCGAAAACTGATTAGTTCAAAAGATATCTTGGGGAGAGTCCTCTAGGTTCTCCATGTCTCTCCCTAAGATATCTCTTGAACTAATCGATTTTCCACCCAAGTACTTTCATACTTTTTTGTAGAGAATAACAAGATGTACCAAATGACATTGAAGGAAATATAAAATTCGACTAAATTCTGTTCAAATTATGAGAGCTGAAGTCTCTCTCTGATGATGCTCCATTCGATACCATTTAATTTTTTCTAATGACATTTCTTTCTGTGTTAGATCATTTTAGAGCAACAACCCAGTTACACGGGACACCCTGTATATACGTTCTTCTAATATAAAAAATTCGTCAATGTGTGTAGAACTGGTAGGACACTGAATGTGGACATAGCTGGTATGTAGGTCACAGAAACACAGTTTGTATTAGGTTGTATCATATCAAATGGTCGATTTCGAAACAGTGAAACTCTGTCACGATTTCATGACATAAAAGTACTGCAAAATAGCGCTTACGGCATATCAATTTGAAATTTAAAGTTCAATGAAAGAAACTGCTGAATCGATTCAGAATTTGATTCTAGCCTAATGTTAAACGAAAACTCGTCAAAGAGAAAAAGAGTAAAGAAATCTGTGTGCGGTAAATTTCCGAGATGCCCCCCGATGAACATCCTAACTTTCAATGATAAAATTTCGAAAAAGCAGCCAACACATTCGATCGCGAAGCACACAGACGTTAGGACGTTTGGTCGGTGTGTATCTCGTTTTCGTGATAGACTGTGGCGCATATCGTTGCGGCTAAAATAAACCCGTATTTTTAGAATAGCCGCGTGTATCGCGTAGGTGCTGCTTTATCTCTTTGCACGCGACGCGTCTGGAGGTATATTCACCTTACCTTCGACCTTCGATCTTTCTTACTTTGTCCACTTGCAAACACCATCTCTCGTTTCGCAAAGTGCTCCTAACATCCTTATGTACTTCAACATTATTGATGGAGATTGCTAAACAGCTCAAGAGCTTCGATAGAAAAAGAAGTATGTATCGTTAAGGCAAACATACTTGGTTATGAAATTGTTTTAATATTTAATTGGATGCAAATATCAATGATATCTAAAAATCGTTACATTTGACAACTATTTTGCAGTACTTCTATGTCATTGAATTTCTACGTTCCGAAATCTACCATTTGATATGCAACAACGTAATTCAAAAGAAATTTTCGGAAAAATCAAATTTTTGATACAGTAAAAGAAGTAACGATTTCTAGGGACGCCCCTGACCCTTTCCTACCCACTATAGCACGACTATGTATGTAGCTCTTTTACTTTGCTTTTCTCCTCTACCTCTTCTGCTTCTCATCCTGTTTCGCCTCATGGAAACTTGGTTGTTGCCCTGCGAACCCTCGGTCATCCTCTTTTCTAACGTTTTGCATTCCTCGAGCCCTGAGAACGCAGAGTCGGCGCACCTACACGATACTTTTTCGACGATAGTTAAATATATGTAATACTGGGTCATCGGTGACCCATTATGACTAGCTATACGATTCTATATTCTTTACAAAGGAAACAATTTTTGCCTTTTTTTTTTTTAAATTTAATACATTCATCAGGAGCACTCGAAATTTTTTTCAAAACAAATTATTAAGAAATTATTATAACTGCTTAAATATGCACATTTTGTGGCTTTTTATTAGACGTAAACAAATTTATAGCATTCGAATCGATTAATCGATAAAAAATGATTTATCATAATAAAAACACCGGGTCGACGCGAACAAAGCAAGATGAAAATTCGACATTCAAATGTGCAAAGTTACATACCATTTGCCGGATATCGTTCACGAGAACATACGAAAGGGCTGGTCCGTTTCACAAGGGAATTTCTTCCACTCTAATTCTTCCATAGAAGTTTCAGCATCGATGCTTCGTACAGCCGGGCGCTACCGTTGCACCGTCGTAAATAAGTTTTGCAGAATCTCCCAATTAAATGTCAACCCGTACTAGGCTATTCTCATTTTAACACTACACCCTCGTCGATGCTATATTTATCTCTTAATTTGTCAAGTACCGATCAAACGGGAACGTCTAATTTTTAACCGCAAAAAAATTAATCAAACTGGATTTTAATTGACCGTAAATTTACTAAACGTCAATTAAACTGACGTATCAAGTTCCTTAATCTTAAAGTTGCAGGATTTGTTAAGATGTTTTGAGAAATAACACTTTGATCGTAACAATGTGACATCTACCTATTGTATTGAAAGCGATGCTTTGTCTTTGTCATCAAAGGCAACCATCATCTGGTTTTAGTCGCGAAATTAATCAATCTTCCGGTTTATGGGGTTTGAGATGTGCGTAAAGTAGCGTCGATTAAATAGCATGTCAAGCAAGGTCGTAAAATCTTCGCCAGGTGCACTGACCCGCCCTACAGTGATTAAGGAGAGTAAGAAATGCGCACGGTGAGAAATGCAAGCGGGAGAGTGCACAACGCGCATCGAATAATTGCTGCTGCAGTACACGTATACGGGTGTGTTAAGCTCCTTTCACACTGACGTTACAATGTCGTAACGCATCCACGATATAAAATTTCACGGACATAATAGGAGTAATATAAATGAAAACTGATACTATCACAAATTGAAGTAATGATATATCGTGTCGTGTCGGTAAAAATCGTGATTTACCGTCACAGGAAAAACATATCCTTAAATCAACACATCGCGTGATTGACCTGATTTATTTGGATTACAGTACCCATTACATTGTTCCGTGACACGATACGTTTTATCACTGAATTATAGTGTGAATGAACCCTAAGGCGCCTGGTCGAAAACACCCGACATGCCACGCACGTACCCCTGACGTAATAAAACGTCCGCGTGTACAAGCGGCGACTATTGCTTTTCTCCCTTGAAAAATGCACACGGTTTCGCGAAACTCTGTTTTGCCTGGTCGATGAAACGGAACACAATGGGTCATTGTGCTACGATGCAAAGAGGAACGCGTGGTTGGCCATCCTGGAGGATGTGCCACTACGATTAACATAGTCGGCACGAAGAGTTTCATTGAATTTCAGCTTCTTTGTTTTCAACAGTTCTTAACCATTATCTATTTACTAACGAAGGAAATGATTTGAAAAGGAAATTGCTCGCATTGTCGGAAAACGGTAAGTTCATCGATTAATTCACGTAATAGATCTACTGTGTATTTTAAGAGGGGAAAAAAACAGTAGCACAGTTTTTTTTTTTTAATTTCAGAAAAATCTGCTGTGATTTGTTAATCGATATATTTTCAATATACACTATCGTTCAAAAGCATGGAATCAAATGTTGTTAAAAATGTAACTTTAAATCAAAATAAAATATATTTTGAACATTTGAACAGTGTACAAGGATTAGTACATAAATATGCAGATTAAGAAAAATCAACCGTTCTTATCCGATTACATTAACAAAGGTAAGCACATATTTAACGCGTATCACCAAGTTACATTTTTATGCACCTGTTGATTGGTCGACGTGTAATTATGTCGTATTTCATTTAATGAGTGTTTTGTACAGCTGCTTTTTGTGTTAATAATTTACCGCCAATTCGTATCATTTTACAGCAATGCGTTTCATAATTCTGTCATGCTCATTAATAAATTAGTCTAATATTTACAAATTTACCTTCATATATCGTAAAAAAATGTTAATGGTTCCATACTTTTGACTGACGATGTACATAAACATATCGAAAAGGCCTATACTTTACCCTCAATGTGTAATTCTGGTAAACCTTGCAATGGCCTCTCACAGATTTATCGTTTCGATGCAGCACCTCTCGAAAATACCACGGAACTCACCTGTAATTAAAAGACAAACTCTATCATTTTCTATTATTCATTCTGAAATAGTTAATTGGTGTCGCGTTTGAATTTTTGAAAGATCTTTGAGGATACGCTTTGTAAGAATTAAACAGGCTCGAAGTTACAAATTAACGAGGCGTTCAGATAGTAACCCTTAAACCGGTTAATTGGCCAATGACACGAGAAACAGGCAAGTTTCTCGCGATATCGCAACAGGAAGCGGAAGGTGACGGTGGTCTATTCTTACGAATACTATACATTGTGTTCCTTCCTTGTGAAGTTATCGTTATCTCTCGGTTCATTCGAAACGTTTCATCGAACGGCAAAGGAGTCTTCGAAACGATAAGGGTATTCTGATACCGCGCAGAGAAAAGATCAACGAAGAGGTTTACGGTTTTGTTGCAAACAGTTTTCGAACAAAAATAGCTGATTAAATGAAAAATAATAAAATATCAATATAACTGTGTACAAATATTGCGACTCTTGTTTGTATCGTTGATAAATGATACACCACGTTTATTTAATCTTTTTGCCTTTTTTCCTTACGACAAAAATGATAACAAGGCCGTACCATAATCGAAATTCATTCGCAGTTACCAGTAGGTGGTCGCTTCGCAGGAAGTTTTGCTTCGCTCCACATTTCCGGTTATCTGAATGAATCCAACAATGAATTTATACGACACGATGTGTCATCTCTTAGGTTTTACAACTTATACAGCACATTTATATTACGTATTATTTGTGTAGAATTATATTTTTTATCTTTTCAAGAAATTCGATGGCATACGGATAATTTATTGTTAACTTATTAAGGTCTATGTTGGATTCAAGAATGATCGTAGGACACTGGGGTCCTTTTTGAATAATGAATATCTTCCTTCTTTTTTACATTTATCCTTCAACACATTAAATGTCAAGGACCGGGGAGATCAATATTATATTAATTTGATAAGATAATACATGGAAAGTTTAAATTTAAGTATGAAACAATTATAGTTAGCAAGTTTGGTGCTAAAATTTTGCCTCGAGTTCAAATCCCATCCAGATTTTTTTTTTTTTTTTTAATATAAACATATGGACTGGTTTACATAATTGAGTAAAAAATTTCAAAACATATTACCTGTCTGCTATGTCAGGGTTATTCAACTGAACGTTTTAAATGTCTTATTCTGTCTAATTGCCAAAACACACAAGTTCAGTAATGCGTATACTACTTTATTAGCTTGAAATATCCTTGAACTTAAATCTTCGCAATACGAATGAAAGATTTAAGTAAACGAAGAAAATAGGTGAGTTCGTGATAACCGTGACTCTCATGAATACACTGTATGTATTTGAAGCGATGACCACTCACATACCAGCAATTTCTTACACGACAGATGAATGAACGATAAACAGCTAGAAATATGCCGCGTCTAATTGCTTGACAAGCGATGATAATATACCGTTGCATGTTTTCAATTCTTCTTGAAATAACATAGCATACAATGTTTTTTTTAATTATCAAAACAATAAACCTCGGCAAATTATATTAAAAGTTTATCTGTCATATCTACCCAACTTTCAAATTTTACTCTCGCGAAACAACAATCTAAACACCTCTGATTTATATAGTAATATTACCGTGAGTGGAGGAGAATAAATTCTTGAAACATAATTCGAGAATCTATTCTAGCGTTTAATTTTCCTACGGGCTGTTATATTTTCATCTAATATTAGATTTCGAGCAAATAGCGGAGGGCTGTATGCGCAAGAACCACCGAAAACAAAACACGGATCGATGTTAGTAATTTTGAAGCAAAACAATTCTCACGGTAAATTTCATACAGGAAATATGGGCAATTTTAAAACGCACGTTTTTATCAACTTTCCCACGTTGAAATTGGCGTCGAAACGATCTATTGATTTCCAAAGGCTATTCGTATATGAACTAAAAACGGAAAGTTATTTAATCAACGAACAAAAAGTAACTAAGCGCGCGACCATCGTGTGACAAGATATATCCGAACTCGTGTTTTTTACAAAGTAATTAACCAAATATTAACACGTCGCGAGTAAGTCATGAGATAACTTGTGTTTTGCCTTTCGGTTCGTAAAAAATAAGGATAAGTAACTAAAGACGCTATATAATAACTTTTATATCAAAACAATCGTTTTGCTTAAAAATATATGTTGAAACTTTGTATTTCAATATAGGTATGAAACACGCCTAATTATTAATTCCCTACTATATTCTAATTCAATATTACAAAACACCTATCTTGTTTTACCAAGAATATAAGGAAAATCTTGAAGATAAATAATAACTCAAAGACCCAAGTAAACACGGTAAATGTTCATAAAAAGACAGAAATAATGTCTCTTTGTTTACCAGAATTTGTTTGCAGGCTGCGATAAAAAATTTATTATCTACGTAAAATTTCTATGTTCTAATTGCTTCATTCATCAAGGCTTTATTATGATAAACATAACAGTGAAGGCCAGGGAGAGAAAAGAACTGTGTACATTTTTTAAATGTTTTGCAGGCCATTTTTTAAAAAGAGATTTCTTGTTATTCTGTCTCCAATTTGTTAATTTGTATGTTAAATAATAATTTTCGTAAATAACTCGTTTGAAATATCACGTGAAACTGTCAAAGAAACGAAGATAGTGGAATAACAAACGATACGTATCATGGTTGCGTGTATGGCCTAATTGATAATAACCAAGTAAGGACTTGGGAAACGCGCAGGCCACTTCCGGTGATAATGTCGCTCAAGTTCCGACGCCGCACCTCCTTGGACACAGATGAACCCTACATATATAACTTCATTTCTTAGTATCTTTTTCTAAGTATCCTTTAGTTTGCATATTTTTTTGCAGGCTCAAATCTGACCCTGCAATTATCCTTTTATCATTGCATCGCGAAATGTAAAACACACACAACTGTGTTACTTATTCCGAAACAATGCTCTGACTCATTATCAGTCAAGCGTAGCTTCAGTTTAATTCATTAATCATTAACACGAATCGTGTTTACGTAGCTTCACGTATTTATCATGACAGTTCATTGTTTAGCAACAATTTCAAGCTGTGAGTTTCCGTTTAACGCACATTCGCAACTATGGCGCAAGTATTGATTGCTAGTATATTTCCATCGATTCTTCAATTTGTTTTTCATTAAGTTCGTCCGATTTTGCATACAATCTCTAAAAGTGCATAAAAATTATTTAATAAACTAAAATCAATCGATCTACAAATACTCTGTTCACCCGCTGTATTTTCAATTATTATTCTCTCTCGAGTTATCAACGGCAAACAGATAGCGTTATTGTCTTTTTTAATTTTTCATTTTCAAGGATCATCCGATTCGTTCCACAGATAGCTACGTTATCTGGGTGAAACTAGAACGAAAAAAAAAAAAAAAAAAAACATATATACATGCAACACCAAAGCTTCGATCGTCAAATACGAGAGACTAACTAGACCCATTTGTATCCGTTCAAGTTGCTTTTTACGAAAGAAACGATCATCAAGGTACGGTTGTTTTCGATCTCGTTTTGACCCGCATCATCGTGGCAATTCAAACTCGTGACGTATGATTTTTTCTGCGAACAAACATCGCGATCTTGTCGGTCTAAATCCAATAATACAATTGTAAATGCCTACGAACGTGACGCAAGGTATCGGGCACGAATAAAACGGATATACGCTGCGATGAATGGATCATTTCTGCATTTTTCTTTCATCTTTTCAACGCCGGTGTTGAAACAAATTGGCATTGATCGTTTGATAAACTCAGTTCCATATGCAGGATGGTTCTATTTCAATTTCCTCGGGGAAATATTTCGGAAAATATAAAAAATACAAATATTTCAAGAGAAAGTTGAAGGGTATTAAGTGGAACGGATTACACTATCAACTATGATCTTTTTTTTAATTCTATTTTTAATGAAACTTTATATATATTTTTATAATATAGAATAACTTTTACGAAAATTCTGTGTAAAAAAAAAAAGTAGACATTACGTTATGTACTTAATACGAGTAATGCGACAGGAACGAAGAGACAAACGATAATGAAGAGAAAGCGTGTCAAGGCCACAAATTTGGATACAAAGGTTGACAAAGTATTACGAGGATAAGCAGGTGAATCAATTGAATCGAACAGTGAGTAAAAATACCGTCCTTAATTAAGTGTACTCTTAAATGTACAGTATCGAACAAACAGAAATTCTCTCACTATGAAAATGCTTAAACGAAAAAGGAATGTGGGTTCCACGAAGATCCGTTTTTGTGGCATTTGATAATCTTGACACGATAGCATTTTAAGTCCACATCTGGCATCCTTCTGGCATCTGTAGTTATCGTTAAGAACTTTTCATCTGCGTCAGAAGCATAAAAACGAGCCGTGGATTCCTACTCGTATTGCCAAGAAAGGAAAAACAAAGCTTTAATTATAGTTTCAGTCGACTATTAAGTCATATCCCCGAGGGAAAACGACGAAGAAGGTTCTAAACTCAAATTTCGAAATTTTTAAATTTCAGAACGCGAAGTTTGGAAAAAATATTCTCAAGCAAACATTCACAGTGGTCTTTTTCCTCTAGAACAAGGCCAGTTCTAGAGGACCAAGTGGTATAAAAATTGGCTACTTGCAATTGAAAGATTATGCATTTTTATAAAAATATGCAAAAATCAAGTGGAATATTGGTGTTTGTATGGAAATGTAATGACACAAGTGCGATAGGTGTACCGAAACTTTTGACCGGTAGTGTATTATAGCAATGGTCGCCACAGGTTGTCCGATCAAAAAAGGACCGGTTCGCAATTAATCGATCCACTAAACTGGAGTTCGTGTGCCGTCCTTAACCTACATTCTCGTCGCCGTCACTCATAAAATTACGTTTCTCCGTTGTTGATCCGGCACGATTCCGCGTGAACGATAAAATTAGACGGGAACGCGCGGTGGTTACCGGGCATGGAAAGCGGGGAATAAATCGGAAACTTCTTAATCGTAG